AATGGAAGTCAATGGAATGTCCCCAAATCGATAGCTGTGCAAACATGTGTGTGTGTGTGTGTGTGTGTGTGTGTGTCTGTGTGTGTGTGTTTGTGTGTTAATCTGAAAATCCAAACTAGTTTGGATTTTAGGTTTCACAAACACCTCTGTCCTTTTTCTTTTAAATTGTAGAAACTTTGTCTCTTAACAACAATATCAATGTCTTCAACAGTAAAATTGAGGTTCTCAAGAGGTTATATGCATAAATATATTATTACACATATTCTAAATATGCAATCAGGTGGCACAATTGGTAAAACTGTTGCCCTTCAGCTAGAAGGTTGCTGGATCAAAACCCAGCCTGCGTCTATCCCGACAATATTTACATGTTCTTCCTGTGCATGAGTGGGTTTTCTCTAAGTACTCCAGTTTCCTCTCTCAGGCCAAAAACATTTACAGTATCATAGGTCCACTGATACACATTACACTGTATGTCTCAAATAAATGCTTGATTTGTCCACATAATTTGACGATAATTTATCAACCGAAAAACCCACAATGGTCACTGAAATAACTTGAAACTTACAAAAGAAGTAATAAAAAAATGCATTAAAAAAATCAACCAATGAAAATCAATCATTGTTGTTGAATTGTGGTTTAACAGAATTATTAAAAAAAAGAAAAAAAGAAACAGGCCTGGGTACGAATGATAGTGGGTACCTCTAGAAAGGAATAAAAATAATATGAATCATAGGGACAAGTTCAGCTAACTAGATGTGTCCTCAAGCTTGGACTCAGCCAGTCTGCACATTTAAACTGTGACAAGTAGTCACTGTATTGTTTGATATACAAACTGAACATGGATCACAGGAAGACAAGGAGAGAGTTTTCCCAGGAGATTAGAAAGAAAATCATAGATGAGCATGTTAACGGTAAAGGCTATAAGACCATTTCCAAGCAGCTTGATGTTCCTGTGACTACAGCTGCAGATTAATCAGAAGTTTATTGTCCACAGGTTTGGAGCCAACCTCCCTGGCCAAAGCTGCAGGAACAAATTTATGACGAATTGGAGAGGATAATATAAATGGTAACCAAAGAGTCCAGAACAACTTCAAAAGA